CAAGTGAACAAGAATGACTATTATTGGGCACCTGCCTCAGGTCCAGGCATAGCAAGCCTTCAGCAGTCAGCATGCACAGCCTCTTTCCCCGGATGCCCATGGATTTCCTGACGCTGCAAACCCCTAGGAATGCGGGCCCAGCTGGCTTGTGTCCGTCCTGTACCTTCCCCAGCGGAGCCACCCTCCCTCTGCCACACCGCCCTGGAGGACAGGGCTGCTGGCCACTTGGAGGTCAGGAAATGGGGGGCCTTGACAGAAGGATGGAAGTTTGCAGAGACCCTCTCACTCCCAAAATGTACTATATCTAGTTGAGGAAAGAGAGTAGCCAGGTGATGGCCAAATAGATCAGTAAATGGAGGATCAGACTGCCAGCCAGTCTTCTGCCCGGTGCGGGGAGCAGTCACCAGGACATGGCCCTGTGGCTGGAAACCCTGCACAGAAAGCATCACAGAGTGCCACCTCTGTACCTCCAGTGGCAGAGCTGGGGTTCAGAGGAATTCTGCCACTTAGAACATGAACTTGAGGGCTTGGCCACGTGCAGCCCTCGCTGGGGGCCAGGTGCTGAGCCAAGGGTCTCATAGCATCAGCTCACTGGCCTTCCTTCTACACCCCTCTCCAGGGTCCAGCATGGAAACAAATATAGCTATCCACTCATCCTGCTGCCAGGAAAAGTAGGTCCCAGCTCCATATCCCAAGAGCTAGGATGAGGCTACTTGTAAAAATAAGAGTCTCTCTTGCAAGGTCTGGGCTTGGGGGTGGCCGGAGCCCTCCTTGCCCCACCTCCAGGGCTGCAGGCTGAGCTGGGTTGTTGGTGCTCACGGGGCCCTTCTAAAGCTAGGACTGGTCAGGAAGTGGCATGGGAGGACCCCAGTGCTGTGGTGAACTGATGACATCGGTGCCTTTAGGGGAAGCAGAGCTCTGCCATATCCCACATCCCCCCAGTTAGGTCCTGTTACAGTAGCAGTAAATGCCATCAGTGAAAACAGTGTATGCATCAGTTATGGTTCAGTTATGAAGCACAGCATCCACTCGAGCTAGTTTAAGAAGAAAGGCAGTTTCTTCCAGGGTACCAAACAGCTTATAGAGTCACTGGGGAGGCTGACGAAACAGCCTAAGTTGGGGTTTCTGGAATGATCCCCAAACCATACTGCAGAACCAGGTCACTAGGGGAATCTGCACTGGCTGCCAGCTCTGGATGTGACAGTATTGCCACCTCCATGGTCAGAAAGCTGCCACTGCTGCTGGATCCAGACCCATGCTGCCCTACTGTGGTCTACACCCGCAAAATGGAAACTGGGACTCTAGGGCTCCTGCGGTGACTCTTCTTGGTAGCAGAAACAACAGAAGCCCAGCCTCTGCTTCAGCTCTGCTTTCGGACACCAGCGCATGGGATAGGAAGAACTGGAATTGTATTTGGAATCCTAGCTGCAAAGGAGTCGGGGAGTACAGCAAGGCATCCCAGAAGGGGGTTGGATATCCAAGCCGTAGTGTATAGTGAAGGTGAATCACTGGGGTTTACGGAAGATGATCCTGCAGAAGTGGCATTGCAGCCTAGGCAAGGAGGATCTGATTCACATAAAAATCACCTGGGCAAGATCACGGTGCAGAGAGCAGGGCGCCCCCCTCAGACACTGGCTCAGTGGGACTGAAGCGGAACTTGTTTGCTGCTGTCTCCCTGTTGTCCTCTTGATAAAATTCTTCAGTGTCCTTTAGGTACATGGTGTTCTCTGTTTGATCTTTGAGATAAACCTCTGAAGCAGCCCATCAGGTATTCTTACCTTGTGCCGAGAAGAGGAAGGTGAGGCTCAGCTCAGGGAGGTTAAGCCACTTTTTGCAAGTTAGGCCTGACTTGCTGGAGATGGAACCGCCAACCACCGTCCCCAACCCTTTCCACCTGCCCAGCCTCTTGGAGCTACTCCCTGCTGCTACTAACTCGTGCTCTTTCAGTCTGATTAAGAGCAGGAAAGCAGTGTGCCCTACCTCAGTGGGGCAAGTCCCATCACCTCTCTGACCCTCTGTTTCCTCCTCTGTAAGGTGAGGTGGCTGGAAGGCACTCTTCTGACAGTGGGAGCCTTCTTTCAAGAGAAGCGTTGCGTGTATCTACATTTAAGACAGAAAACAGCAGGGTCGCTGTGGTTGCCACAGGGAGGGATCCAGACACCTCCCGCACAACCCCACCTCCTCCAGCCCCTGGAATATCCTTGCTGGGGGCTCACCCAGCTTTGGCCCCCAGCAAAAGCTGGCAACTCTTCGCTTGAACCTGCTCACATCATTGCAAGCCTCGCGACGGTCGTCTGCAGAGGAGGAGCAGAAGGGGCTGTCTCTGGGAGGCCAGGGTGTGGGGAGGGGTGGGAGAAAGGGGGAGGGGTACTGGCTATTTAGGAGATAGAAAACTTGGCTGATTGGCTGATGGGCCCAGCTTGAGGTAAGTGTGTTAGATGGGGTACCCCGTTCTGCTGCCTGTTTCCTAAATGAAAAATCTTACATCCTGTTCATCCCAGAGGAGACGTTTGTTTGAGATGACAGGCACGTCTTGGAGGGCCGCCACAGGGAAGGCGTCCACTCTCCTGGACCTTGGTAGTAAGTGGCTTCCATAAAATGTGTGCACCCCGCTCCCATCGCCCAGCAAAGCAGCACTGCCCATGCGTGTGTGCGTGCACGTGTCCACGTGTGCTCCATGGCTGGTTGCTACCTCCCGGCTCTTCACCGGCACGTCGCCGGGACACGTGGCAGCTACCAGATGGGTGTGTCCTGGGTCAGCTGAGGGACAGCCTTCCTGATTGGGCTGGAAAGACCGCAGCTCCGAGGCGGAAGTCGTGGCATTGCACCCACCGAGTCCACCTCCACCCAGAAGTGGAAAAGCTCTGAACAAGCTTGGTGGAATCGTGTGCATTAATAGGACTGTGGTTTGCCTTTCTTAGCCAGAGAAGCAAAGAAGGTGCCACCGAGATCAGTGTGAATTTGGACGTGCAGGCTGTTTGCCTGCTCTTGGTTATAAAAGTGACACCAGAGACATTCCATGTGCCTGTTCTGAAACCGTGTCCAACCAAACGTCTTCTGAATGGGGGTGTTCACAGAAAGCCACCAACTTTTGTTAGAGCTGCTGAGGAGACCTTGGATGTGTCTTCTGGAAAAGGCCAGGCACTCACCTGAGAAGAGGCTGGTGGTAGCTGTCCACGGGAACCGGCCTTCTCATCACAGTGTGTGGTTTCCTCTTCCTCTGGCTTTGCCTGACAAAGGTTACCGCCCATAACCAGCCAGAAGAGGCATCCCACGTTGTTGCAGCCCTTGGGAAGTATGTTCCTGAGGAGGTGGGGTGACATCCAGCCAGAGTGAGTTGTTTTTTTTTTTTTTAATTTGGAGTATAGTTGATTTACAACGTTGTATTAGTGTCAGGTGTACAGCAAAGAGAATCAGTTATGTATATACATATATCCACTCTTTTTTTAATTTTCCCGTATAGGCCATTACAGAGTATTGAGTAGAGTTCCCTGTGCTATACAGCAGGTCTTTATTAGTTATCTATTTTATATATATATAGTAGTGTGTATATGTCAATCCCAGTCTCCCGATTTATCCCTCCCCACCAGACTGAGTTTAATTCAGAGTTAATAGTGTAAGGCACAGAGAAGCAAGGGGGATCAGGGCATGCAGAGAGAGCTCGAAGGAGCCGGTCTTTCAGGATGGTTGGAATTGGGAAGGGCAAGTGGAGGAGGAGGAACTCAGGGTTCATGGGACTGTTGATAATAGCCAACATTATATACCTACAATGGAATATTATCCAGCCTTAGAAAGGGAGGGAATTCTAAAACGTGCTACAACATGGATAAACCTTGAGGACATTATGTGCGGTGAAATAAGCCAGACACAGAAGGACAAATACTGTGTGATTCCACTTCTATGAGGAATAGTCAAATTCAGAGAGACAGAAAGTAGAATGGTGGTTTCCAGGAGGAGCTGGGGGGAGAGAACGGGGAGTTAGCGTTTAATTGGGACAGAGTTTCAGATTTGCAAGATGACAACAGTTCTAGAGGTGGATGGTGGTAATGGTTGTACAATATGGTGAATGTACTTAATGCCACTGAACTGCACACTTAAAAACGGTAAAAATGGACTTCCCTGGTGGCGCAGTGGTTAAGAATCTGCCTGCCGATGCAGGGGACACGGGGTAGAGCCCTGGTCCAGGAAGATCCCACATGCCGCAGAGCAACTAAGCCCGTGCGCCACAACTCCTGAGCCTGTGCTCTAGAGCCCGCGAGCCACGACTACTGAAGCCCACACGCTTACAGCCTGCGCTCTGCAATAAGAGAAGCCACCGATGAGAAGCCCACGCAACACAACGAAGAGTAGTCCCGGTTCGCCACAACTAGAGAAAGCCTGCGCGCAGCAACAAAGACCCAACACAACCAAAAATTAATTAATTAGTGGATTTTTTTTAAAAAAGGTAAAAATTGTCAATTTTATGTCATGGGTATTTTCCCACAATTAAAAAAATAAAAAAACTAGCCAACATTTATTGAGCACTTGCTGTATACCAAGAACCGCACAGAGCACTTGTGACGTAGTTCTCCAAATAGCCGTATGAGGTAGGCGCCATTGCTGTTTGCGTTTTACAGATGTGGAATCTGAAGTTGGGGGTCATTAAATAAATACACCTCTCACAGCCAGGTGACTTATGATGGTCGTGAGGATTGTACCCAGATCTGCGAGGGTCCAGATATCACACTCTGTGAACAAAAGGCTGAAACACGGGCACTAAGAGGCACAGACTCCTGACAATTTCTAAGTGTTGCCCTGCTGATGGACGGGGTTTGGCTTCCATCCACCTGCAGAGGCCCTGCCCGTCAGGCTCCTGCCTCCAGCAGAGCCCTTGAGGTGGCCCTCATCTGAGTTCCCTGTTGCTGGTGGTGCAGGGTGTTAGAAGTTGGCTCTAACTTGCACATGATTATACCCATGACCAGCATTTTAAGGAGTGAGCCGTGTCACCCCATCTGTTTCAGACCACAGTGATCGACTACGTGAAGCCCTCGGATCTCAAGAAGGACATGAATGAGACCTTCAAGGAGAAGTTTCCTCACATTAAGTTAACACTCAGCAAAATAAGGAGGTACGTGGGGATGAACGCCCACCTGAACTTTCCCCCAGGCCCCTCTCCCAGCACGCGCTGAGCTCGTGCTTTTTACGGTGAGCCTTCTGTTGTTCTGGGGAAGTGAAACATGGTCACATTCAGCTAAAAGAGGCTCGTCTGGTGCGGGCTGACCGGTGCCCAGATGTGAGTGAGCCAAGGCAGGCAGGACTGAGGTGGAGCCCTTGACACAAGCTGACAAGGATCTGGAGTGTGGTTCCTTATGAAAGAATCATTTCATACTATCTGTGGCTTACAGTTCAGTAAAATTTATGTTATGGAAAACTGAGAATAGGAAACATTCAGTTCCCTGCATTCTCAAATGCAGGCAAAACAGAACAGAATTGGTATCAGAGGGTTTGAGATAACTCTACCCACAACCGTCTGCCCAGAGGTGACAGCCAAGCCCTATATGTAAGCAGTCAGCAAAACGGCCAAAGCAAAATCAGGCCCAAATTTCCCCTGCAGCTGATTGGATCGACCTTGTGGTGACCCACATCTTCCGGCCCCAGTAATCGAGAGGACTGGCCCTGCTGGGCTGGAGAGAAGCTGACTTGTGTTGTGTCTGTGTGCCAGGACAGCAAGATTTCAGGGCGTGTGTGTGTGTGTGTAGTAATGTTGGCTAGGGCTATACACAAACATAGTGTTGGAACATGTGCCAGCATTCATACATTTATGTATCCCAATCCTGATTTGATTCTGGCACGTTCCTAGCCAAAGAGGTGAGAAAAATTAAGTATTCATATTTTGTCTGTTGGTTGGGCCGCTTTCCTAAGTAGGCTGGTTGCTGCACTCTTAGTCTAACCCCTCTTCGGCCATAGTTAGTGGCCATAAGCGATCTTCGGCAGAGCTGATGCCAAGTACCTCATTTATCCGAGTAACTGTCTCTCTGGAATGACCTTAGTTTCCCTCTGTCACTGTGGGTGGCTCTACTCCTAGTTTCCGGACCCTCAGCTATCCACTTGGGCTCAACATGGTCCCATCTGGACGTGGTCCCATCTGTACAGACAGCTTGACCAACAGAGAAGGGTTCGAAGTCCCAGCAACTTAAGTCTGTTGGCCACATATAACGTAACTTTCTCACTCATAGGGATTTAATCCCATTCCACGTCGCCCTTCTGGAAATGAAAGAGAAAATGCTTTCAAGACAGGGCAGTCTTTTTCTTTGGGGTCACCCGAAACTCCAAGTTCTGATAAGACTCTTCCCTCCCTCCCGTCTTTTTCTAGCCTGAAGCGAGAGATGCGGAAGCTTGCCCAGGAGGACTGTGGCCTCGAGGAGCCCACGGTGGCCATGGCATTTGTCTACTTTGAGAAGCTCGCCCTCAAGGGAAAGCTAAACAAACACAACCGGAAGCTTTGTGCCGGCGCGTGCGTGCTCTTAGCAGCCAAAATTGGAAGCGACCTCAAAAAACATGAAGTCAAGCATTTAATTGACGTAAGTGGGCTGAATTCTGATTGGCTGGTTGGGGGGGGGGCGGGGCATGCACTCCAGGCCAGCGTTTGTCTCAGAAGAGCCTGGTTGGTGACCCAGCCCGGGAGATTTCTGAGCCTTAGTACCAGCTAAGGGACCAGGGCTGTGAGGTTGGCCCTTCTACAGCAGATGTCAGACCCCACATCTTGGGCTGTCTTAGAACAGAGGGATAGGCCACTTTGATGAGACTGAAGATCCCCAGTATTGGGTCTGGCCATAAAATACACTTTTAGGCACCATGGGGGTGAGCTTTTTCTCCAAGCCACAGAAGCCACTGTAATAGCCAGGGGTCTTGCGGGTGGTGTGACCTGCAGAACATCCGTCAGACACACCTTGGCTTCCTGTGGCCTCGGCTGCTTACTCTTTTGGGGAAGGGCGTGGGCTTGGCTGAGTGGTATCTCCTTCCTTTTAAAATAGAGCCCCTTGGGGTTCCCTGGTTGTCCAGCGGTTAAGACTCTATGCTCCCAATGCAGGGGGCCCAAGTTCAATCCCTGGTCAGGGAACCAGATCACGCATGCCGCAACTAAAGACCCAGTGTAGCCAAATAAATAAATAAATAAATAAATAAATTTAAAAAATAAAAATTAAAGTAGAGCCCCTTTAAAGCAAGGAAACACTGATCTTCTTAGACAGGTACAAGAATGCCTGTTTTTAAAATTCAGTGTATTCTGGGAATTCCCTGGCAGTCCAGTGGTTAGGACTCCACGCTTTCACTGCCAAGGGCCTGGGCTCAATCCCTGGTCGGGGAACTAAGATCCCACAAGCTGCGCGGCGCAGACAAAAAAAAAAAAAACAATCAGTGTATTCATAGAAAATTTGAGATACAATAAAGCCAACAGATCAGGATATTCATCAGAATTTCCTACCTTTTTAAGGCTGAATAATGTTCCACTGCATGTATACACCACATTTTGTTTATCCATTTATCCATCCATGGAAGAAATGGTACAGAATCATCTAATTTGTGTAGTGAACACTTTTAGGACCATAGTTGGGATACCAAATCTGAGCTGAGAATCAATAGATTTACATAGATAATAGCTGAACTAATGAATCTTTACAAGTGTGCTGTTACACACATTTCATAGTTGAGAAATATATCATCCAGCAATGCTGATAGTACCAATGCAGAATATAAGGGTAACGATCTGACAGGCCATTTGCAGTAGCAATTAACTGAACGCAAGATCCCGACCCAGTTATAATCTGAAAGTAGTCGCCGACTACTCTGGTGTTGAGATTTTTTTTTTTTTTTAATTAAGCCAAAAGCTAAGTTTAAGCCAAAGCAGAATGTACTCTAGCAAAAATGAGGCCTTCCCTACCCACCCTCACCCTGATTGTTCTCCATTCCTACTCCAGCAGCAGCTGGACCAAGAGGCAGTGCAGGAGGGGAGCCCCTGGGCGTGGGCTCGGCCCAGTCAGATCCACACAGGCCATGTAATGCTGTGAAAGTGAGGCAGCCTCGCCAGGACTTGGTCCTCGAGCGTAAAATGCAAGGACCAAACTACACATAACCAGCTCCCCCAATCCTAAACCTCCCATGTGGATATTGTTGTTATAGATGATTTGCTATGGTTTTAGTCTTACCTCTAAGCTTGAATAACCTAGTTGTAACAGGTACAGTTTGAGTCTCAGCTGAGTCTGAATCTCAGCATTTCAATTCGCTGCCCATGTCACCTTAGACAAATTCTTAACCTCTTGATCCTGTTTACCCATCTGTAAAATGGAGATAAATGTTAACACTGACCATGTAAGATTATCAAGAGATGTAATGAAGTCACGGGCTGCATCTCAGGCCCCCGGCACACTGTGGGTCCTCAGGGAGGTAGGAGTCCTTTTCCATCAGGACTGAGAGCAGGAAACACGGCTGATGCCTCCGTTCCTTCCTCCACAGTCTTGCCCATGACGGGTTTCTCTGTAAACACTCTCTGGCTGATGGATACAGAGGTTACACGTGGAGAAGGCCTAGGATTTTTATTTCAAAGCTAAAAGCCTTTTGGTTTCCTTTATTTCTGTTGCAGAAGCTGGAAGAGAAGTTCCGGCTGAATAGACGAGAACTGATTGCCTTTGAGTTCCCGGTGTTGGTGGCCTTGGAATTTGCACTTCATCTGCCGGAGCACGAAGTCATGCCCCACTACAGACGCCTGGTCCAGAGCTCCTAGCACAGGCCTCCTAGGAGGGCCGGGACCACTTCCCCTGAGCTCACTGGGGCAGTGCGTACTACTGGAAATGCAAAAATAGAACTCAACGCAGCAAATTTTTCTCCACTCGACATGTTTTTGTGCAGAAGCAGCAGCAGAAACTTTTCAGGGAGTCTTCCATCTGGCCAGCCGAGATGGGCTGTGAACCCTTTACTGCTCAGCCAGGAAGGGGAGACCTGAGCAGAAGATGGCTCTCCCAGCTCTCCACTCACCAGATTTCCTAGCTGGCCTCACCCAGACTTCCTCGCGACCACACGCAGACCTGGCAGGCGTGGTCCAGGGCCTTCTCTCCAGCCCTGTTCCAACTCGGAGTGCAAAGTTCTAGAGCAGATTGGGGAAGAGAATTTGCGGAAGTTGGAAGAAAGCTTCCAAAAGGTACCCTCAGTGTGTCAAAAGAGCGTGCCAATCTATTTTTGTATCCGCTGTTGGAAGTGCACTTTCCTCTGGAGCATGTGGCTGAGTGTGAGAGTGTGTTTGAGAGATGTCACATCAGCCCTCCACCCGCAAAGCCAGCCCCACCCTCTGCAGAACAGACCTCAGCCTGGGGTCAGGAGCCAGGCTGACCCTCGGCAATTATTTCTACATAATCTCTGGATAACAGTCACTCTGTCCGTACCAGGTGGATATCTTCTGCCCTTAGAAAATGACATTGTTTCTGTTACTGCTCCTACCACCAATGGGACAAAGAAGACAAGCTCTCACTCGGATGGGCTGCGTGGAAAGGTGTGGCATGTGACGTTCTATACCTTTCCGCCATCACGTCCTGCGTGTACACGAACCTTCACACTTTCCCCACTGTGCAGATGGTGGGGTTGGGATCCGCGGTGTGTATTCCTGTGCTCTATGTTAGAGTGCATCACAGGCACATTTATTGTGCTATCTATCTATCTACCTATCTATATAAAGTGTTTTATAAAATCCAAAATAGGGGCAAGACGCATGATTGGTGTTTTGAGGCTTTTGACAGCTGGGACAAATTGCATCTTGAGCTGAGGATGAGTCAATCGAAGAGGCAACAGCTCTTAGCATCACCATGTCCCCAGGGCTGTTAGTGCAGAGTTTTCGTTGCTACTTGTACCGATTCACTGGGACAACCTGTATGGAGGCACATCATCACTCTGTCCCCTCATAGCTGCAGGAGAGAGGTGCCCATTGTGGTTCAACGGACGGAAGGAAGCCTGTGGCCCTGTAAAGAGAGAATTAAAATATTTTATTGTTTCTATATCCATGTATGTGTATGTGTAGACGCTTTAAGTCTCACCAGTCACCCTCGCCTTGCATTACAGTTCATCTGCCACCATCCCCACCTCGATTTCACACACAGATTCGGAGCTTTGCAGTCACCCCAGAGAAGGGGCGCCGGGGTACCGGGCTTTAGTCAGCAGAGCTTGAAAGAATCTGATAGTCACAGGTTGGAGGAATTCAAGCAGTGGTCAGGGAGAGAGCAAACAGGACCCAGAGTAACAGAGTTTAGTCATAAATATTTTGCTAACAAATTTCCTTAGCGGGATTCAGTTGTGAGATGATTTTGTTGAGGGGTATGATGAACGTGATCTCTTGGGCTTGATAGATTAATTACTATTTCTGGGACACCTGTTTATGAGGCAAATTGGGAAAGAAACAGGAAGTGTTCAGAATGTCTCCATCACCTGAATATAACCCGCCCTCGACCTTCCTCGGCTGGTGTCTGTCACCTGCTTCTCCCTGATGAGCCCCCTGGTTCCCAGCCCACTCAGCTCCCCGGTGAGGGCCTGGTGGGTGGAAAGCCTCTCAGAGATGCGAGGCCACTGGCATCTAGAACTTGTAGCTCCCCGCCACCCATCTGCCTTGAGTCTCCTGCCAAGCTCAGGGGATATCCAATAGGTGACATGGGCCACCGGCCCAGATGTGCGGAGGGCAACACCCTGCGTCCTGCCTGTGTCTTAAAACCAGGCTCAGTTTCTTGGGTTTGGGGCAGTTTGGTTTGGGGCATTTATGAGGTGGGCTTGAGAAGTCGTGGGTCCATTTTTGTTAAGACAATTTAAACATCTATTTTGACCTGTGGGTTTGTTAAGTGGAGAGTTTATGGGTTTTAATTCAGTTGGGAAGGAGGCTGAGAATGAAAGATTTTGTCCAGAGCGCTCCTTTTCCTTGTCCATCACATGAGCTTTCCGAAGGAAAAGGGGAATGAGGCAGAGGCCAGGGCACCAAGGTCACTACCGGCGCCTCCTGGGATGTGGTGACTGCCAGTCACTTCCCAGCCTAGGGCTTTGGCAAGGAGTCGTGGAGGCAAGCCTGTGCCTGTGTGGAGAGAAGGCGGCCGCTCAGCAGACTGTTCTAGAAGACCCCAAGGCTCTGCCCTTCCACCGTCCACCACAGCGGCAGGTTTGGACCCCTTGCAAGCCCTGCTCCCTCTTGGGCTGCCTGAAGCCTCTGCAGTTCTCGAGGCCAAGGGTCTGGGGAAGCCCACGCTCCTCGGGATGGCAGGAGCCGCCCCACCTGACTTGGTTTCCCCAGACTGGCCTGGTGGACCGGGGGTGTCTCTCCTCTGGTGCCCTGACTGTGAGGTCAGGTTAGAGATGGAAAGCAAGGAGCAGCCGGCCTGGTGGCAGCTGCCCTGTCCCCAAGCAGTGGGCCCGCTGTGCGCCCTGCCCGGACAGGATCAGTCCCCATCCCCCAAAGGCCTTGAGGCCTCAGACCAGTGACAGTAGAGGTCTCTCCTTTCCCTTCTTTCCCCCCAATCAAACCTGCATTAAAGCAGGAAATCCACACCAAAGGCAAAGCTGTTTGTTTTCCTTGGTTTTTTTCTCCTGACCAAAACTTCCTCTATTCTTTTGGTGGCCCACCCAGCACACCCATTCTGGGTGTCCCCGTACTCCGCACAAACCACTGCGTACCACGGGCCCCTCCGTTCCCGCAGCAGCACATAGGTCTGTTGGTCGCCCTACCGCTGAACTCTCTTAGACGTTTCCAGTTCAGTGCAGAACGGCTGGCCTTCTTGCCTCCGTTGCAATCTGCCTGTGCAGAGGAGGGGTAGGCTGGAACAAAGCAAATGTGAGCCAGGTAGTTTTGTTACCTGTTAATTGTTTTCTCTGTGTGGGGCGGAGCGTCCCAGGGCTCCCCTGCCCCAGGGACAGCCTGAGTTCATCTCCTAGGAGCTGTCGGGACCGTTTGGTTAAGGACATTGCTGGCCAGATCCCAGCAGGGCCAGGTAGAGTGTTGAGGAACGGACAAGGGAGGAAACATCAAGGCTATATATTTGGAGTCACATATTGTCAGCACCAACTTGAAAGCGTCTTCCAGGAGTGCAAGTGCAAGGCAGAACAAGGCAAAAAGCTATAAAAGCAGAAAATAATAATTCAAGGGCATGGCCCTCTCACTGTCAAGGCAGGGAGTGCTCGCTCTGACAGCCCCCATTGCACAAAGGGCCATGCAGACTTCTAAAGAGATATTCCAGAAAGTCTTCAAACACTGAGCTGGCTGAACCCTGAAGACACACCTGGCGAGGATGGCACTTACCCGTGTACCGTCTCCCACTACCATCTTGCTACTCAAAGTGTGGTCTGGGGACCAGCAGAGTTGGCATCCCCTGGGGCCTTGTTACAAATGCAGAATCTGCATCTCAACAAGATTCTGTGGACATTTGTATGCATTAAAATCTGAGAGGTTTTATTCCTCCATACACACATAGGAAATAAATTTTCTGTCTGAAAAAAGATACTACTCATGTATAAAGTTGTCTAAAACAGAGGAACTGTAGATTTTTTTTTAATCTAGTGGGAAGAGTGGCATTGTTTTACTTTTTTTTTACAAATCTCTGTGATGTCTTTCTTTTTAATTTTTATTTATTTATTTTTGTCTGCGTTGGGTCTTCGTTGCTGCGTGCAGGCTTTCTCTAGTTGCGGTGAGTGGGCGGCTACTCTTCATTGCAGTGCACGGGCTTCTCACTGGGGCGGCTTCTCTTGTTGCGGCGCAAGGGCCCTAGGCATGGGGGCTTCAGTAGTCGTGGCTCGCAGGCTCAGTAGTTGTGGCTCACGGGCTTAGCTGCTCCGCGGCATGTGGGATCTTCCTGGAGCAGGGCTCGAACCTGTGTCCCCTGCATTGGCAGGTGGACTCTTAACCACTGTGCCACCAGGGAAGTCCCGTAGATGGTTTTCAATACCAAGAAGAACAGTGCCAGTCTCTCACTGAAAGGTAGTTTTGACAGTTGTTTACCTAACTGCCTCATCTAACATTTTTGTGGATGCACATGGCCAGAAAGATTTAAATTGGATAAAAGTACAGTTAACCGATAGTAGGTCCCAAGTGCAGAGCTGGCTTATAGGGATGGCTTCATCCAGTGTTGACTAAGGTCACTGCCTGGATGAGGCCTGTATCTCAGCTTCTCGGGTCCATGCCCAGGTGGAGAGTTGCGATAGCGGAGGGTCAGAGCCGCGGTGGGTGCTGGAGCATGAGCCCCTTCTACCAGAGCTGGAGAGCTGTACAGTCATGACCTTGGGACATCATGATGAACAGATCTCCAGCTTGAGGTCCATGTAGCATTTTATAAAATGTGTCTTACCCTGTGTTCTGTGGGTGACGGCAAGGACCCCATGGGCCTGCCCCTGAGATGCTTCAAGAGGTTGGAGAGAGACCACTGGAAGTAAGTAGAAGGCACCCTCTCCAGGTGCCGTGACACTGTTCTCCAGAAGGAGCCCCAACAGTGGGGATGCTCCAGGGGCAGGACAGACTCCCCGGATGGACCTGGAATGGACGAGCCCAAGGCAACAGGGCTGGAAATCACCACTCAGGAATCAGCCTGGCACACAGGTGACAAGGTGGGCAAGTTAGAGCAATTGTTTGGTCCAGTGAGTGAAGATCAAGAAGACAGGATGAAATCAAGGAGACTCCTTACTGGGGCACCTGGACAGATTGGTGAGAAGCCAGAGACAGAGATAATCCCTTGGACACAATGTTTGACAAGGGCCCTTAATCACCAAGCAGATAGCACCTGCCAGCCCTGTGCTTGGCCCTTAAAGCCCATGTTCTTAGTTTACCCTTAACAAACAAACTGTAAAATTAGGTATCGTGCTCCCATTTCAGAGATGAGGAAACTGAGGCTCTGAAAGGTGACTTTACTTGCCCCAGCCATGAAGTGGCAAAAGCAGGGGATTTCATATCCAGGTC